TCCCTGGCCCACCTCTTGCTTCTGGCACTTTTCATTTTTGTCCCTTGTGAGTTAAGTCTATATCCCAGGACTATGTCTTAGGAGGGCTAGTGCCCAAGGGCCTGCACTGTCCAGGGACTGGCATTTCCCACAGCTCTTCATGTTTTTTGAAATCTCTGCTTATTCCATAGCTACTATTAGTTCACTGTCTGCTATGCTAAAGTCTTCTAAATGAATTACATCTTGTTATGTCCTGATGAGGGAGGTGTAAAAATACCTTAGTGAAGAAAGTCCTCATCATAGCAGAAAAAAATCCCCAAATGAAACCACACAACAAGGAGTGTAGAGCTTGCTTTTTAATACTTTCAGGAAGCAAACCAACAAAAATTTCTGTACAATAGAATTTAGTATTATGTAACAGTTCTTGGGTTTCTTTTCCTTTTAGAATTCCTCCAAAGTAAATGAGCTTGAGTTTAACCCAGCATCCCTTACTAAAGACTGTGACCAACTGAGTTGCTGTGAGTAAGGAATTCCTGGATTCCACTGAGTTTTCATTCCCCTGGGTACACAGGAAGTGTGTAGAGCGTGAGGTTGTGGTTTTGTTCTTGCTGCTGTTTCTTACAGGGGAACCTGTGGAATTTGCCCCTGAACAAAAAAGAGTAGCCAGTCAGGCTGAGGGTGCAGTGCAGCTGCTGCAGCAAATGGAGCAAACAGGAAAGAAAGGAAGCACAAAGTCAGAGGGAAGAGGTCTTTCACAGTTCTGGAGAAGGTACTAATCCTGCACTGATGAGCAGAGGCAATCCTGGCGCTGTCCAAGCCTATGTCAAAGGTTGGCAGTGCCAGGTTGTTTTCCATCATTTTGAAGAATGGAGACATCTTTTCTGTGATGGAACCAAAGTCCCCCAAGGCAAAGAAAGGGATGTTGTTTTATCTTGTGCTAAGGGGCAGCATTCCCACTAAATGTTCCTCTTCTGAACTGTCTTTAGGAAAAACTCCTGATAAGAGAGTCACTGAATCTCCATCTCAGCCCTTATACAAAGTGGCTTTCCTCAGCTGAGAAGTGCCAGCTAAAAGGGTCTTCCCAGATGGACCTTCAGCCCCATTAAGCTTCATGTGACCTTTATTTGGCCACTGAGCAAATCTGGACTTTGTAACTCTGACTCCCAAAGTCACCATTTCAAATGGAAATCAGTGTCACTGTGCAGACACCTGCTGTTTGCCTAAAGGAGTTATTTCATGCTGCTGAGGCTGGATCCTGTGAGTGCTGTCCATCACTGCACAGCAGCAGCTGGATATTGGCAGCTGCTGGTTTTTGTTAGTGTTTTAAAAAATAAAACTCCTTGTTAATTGTAATGTGTGCCATTCCTTTAATGACTGAGACCAGACCATTAGTGCACAAGTTATTGTTTCCAGACCATTAGTGCACAAGTTATTGTTTCCTCTGTTTTTTCAGTTTCCCTTTGTATTGTTTTGTACTGGCATTGTGTCTTTCTATTGGACAGAAATTAGCTTTTTCATGATTTTCAGAGAAGTCTAATATGCTTTTTTTGTTGTTATTGTTTCCCCAGCATCTTTTCACCACTACAACATCTTTTTGGTGGAAAAAACTGACCTGGAAGTACTAATTGTTGCGGAAAGGTAGATTTGTAGTATGAATATTGGGTTGCAATGTTTCTTCTGTAATTCAGCTTTTCACATTGCATGTCTCAGCTCTTAAATGCTTTAAATTAAATTCTACTTTGCTAACGTTTTCAAAGTAACATTCTGAAGATGTTGGGTTAGAACAACCTGTTGGATTTTTCTTCACATCTTAGAGGTTTTGGAATAGAGCAAGATTTTGACCCTTAAGTGTCGTAAATTGTGAATTTTACGTTATGTGGTATTCTAATAAAACTAGAATCAGCTTGGAACTGTGTGTTATTTTAATCAGACTTACCCATGCTGAAGATACTTGTCAGGAAAATTAATCCACAAACACCAGAGGTTTATGTCCAAAAAGGAGACAGAGGAGTCCTTTTACTTTATTCGAATAAAGGGAGAGGCCATGGGGCATTCCCCTGGGGTCTCTCAAATTTTTGGAGGGCGCAGCCTCCTTTTTTATCCTAATTCCCGGCCACTTGTCCCTTCTCCCTTTCCCCATAGGCTGAGGTACTTGAGAGGTACAGGCTTCCCGGAACGCCTGATACCGGCGGTGATACCTTCCCCCCCCACCCCCAATGCATAATCCCTTCTTAACTTTTATGGAATTCATAGTGTTCTTTCAGTGCCTCTTTGATCTTCTACTGGAATCCATCCCATTGTTTCTGTTGTCTCTCACTGATAGCTACATCTTATCAACTGACCCACAGCTTGTTTGTAAAGACAAGCTCATCATTCCTCTCAATCCCTCCTCTTTTAATTTCTGTTAATAATTGTCTTTACAAACTTTAGTTATCATTGACCTAATTTCTTGTTCTTGGCTCTTTTTTGGCTTTGCAATTATTTGCAGTGGCATTACTTTCTGCTTTTTTGTAGCTATCTCTGGATCAGTAGGCACGGCTACTACCTGCATTCCTTTGATCACATGTTGAATGAGTTGTATTAAGCAAGGGATCATGCATGGTAAAAAGATTAGAGTTGCTACAACACATAAGAGGAAAAAAGCATTTGTTTGACTTACAGGCTACCAGGTAACTATGAAAACATGTCCCATTCCCATCCTTTCCATGTTTGGACCGGTACATGGGCTAACTTTTTTATTCCTTTTGTTATTTGTTTTACCACTTTTCTATTGTCATTTATTTGCAAACAGCAGTTTGAGTCATTAAATTTTCTACACCCCCCCCCCCGTTTTCTGCTAATAAATAGTCTAATACTATCCGATGTTGAAATACTGCATTTCTCATCTTAGTATACTGGTCAGCAAGAAGGTCAAGAGCTGTAGCTGTCTGGTTGATTATCATTTCAAAGACAGCTTGCAACCTAATTATTCGATTTAGATTATAAATGGGTTCTCTGGCACCTGATATTAATTCATTTGGGTTCCAGGTAGCTGGTCCATAGTGTTGTATGTATGATTCGTTCAGGTGGCCATTCATCTTTTCCCCACTTTTGGGTGCTCCTTCCAACCAGGGATGTATCAATAGACCGCTTCTCTCTAATTAGATCATCATATACTTTGATTCTTAACTGATTTCCTTGAACTTGTGGTAGCAGAAAGAACAATGGTCTAATATACCCCACATAACATATTCCTGACCAGTTTGGAGATAGCCTGCGGTAAGCATTTTGGCCACAAATCCAGTAATGCCCCTTTAGAGCCCAGGTCCCATTAGTGAAGGGACCTTTCCAATTTTTATCATCAACTGGCGGGTCAAAATACAGCTTGCTTCCAGGGCCTAGGGGTCCACCAACAATAGTTGCCTCGCCATAAGAATCACAATATTTACATTTCTAACCTCCTACATGAGGTTTCCACTTGCAATCACATCCCAGATCTGTTTTATTAGATCTGGACCAGAACTTACTGAAAAGGGTTTGAGTTTCATTCTGGTGTTGCCATTTCCACTGATAGTCTCAGACAACATGTGTCTGACTTGTGGAATTATCCCGGGGGCAGCTTAAAAATAAAGGGTCAAAAAAAACTTATCCTTCCCCACTGCTTTACAGCCTTCAAAATCTTTTTGGTAATTATGGAACACCTTACTCAGCTACCATTAGTGAGCTTAACATGCGTTTGATTCCATCTGCCTCGATATCTGGAACAGTCATAAGGAGGGCAGTTGGGGGTCCAACAATCTAAACCTAAAGTCCAGTCACAAACGCTCTTTCCCACATATGTGCTTCTTGTTCTGTTTAAGCAATAAATGCCTCTTTCAGAAGAATGAAGCTGCCATGGATTTCTTTCTTTGTCTCAAAATCTTGTTCTATTATGGACTTCACTCAGGGTGCTAACCCACCATTTAGGCTCGACTGGGCTGGCCACCCATGGCCAGCTTTCAGATCCCCCTGGCCCCCCGCAGACCCAACAGTTTCTAAGGTTAAAGGTCTTTGCTACTTGTTCTCTTAAAGTAAAAAACTTATTTTCCCACTTTAGACTCCAACTTAACTGGAAATATAAAGGTAAAATTATTAAGAGAAACATTCTAATAGTGTTATAATCTAATTTCTAATTTTCAATTTCACGTTGTCTTCTACACCACCTGTGGCAAGTGAAAGCACAGAAACAGCTTAGCATAAAGAAAGCAATGACAGCATGGATTGGCTCCCAGTGTCTGGAGATTTGAGAGTAGGGATGCCCATACAGACTATTTCAGCAGGCAGTCTGTGGGGAGGCACTCGGGGCTTCCTCCGATGTCGACGCACCAGCTACTGCTCTGGTCCACTCCTGTGGAGTGTCAGTCACGGCTTCCCATCCTTCTCCTCCAGCTGAGATGTCCAAATCTCTGGAGCTTCAGAGACCTTGACTCGAGTGTGATGTGTCCACCCGTGTTCAGCTGTCTTGACGGCTGTTTCTGTGGTCAGCAACACTTGGAAAGGTCCAAGCCACTTAGCCTCCAGTGGTGCTTCTTTCCACTCCTTAACTAGGACCCGGTCTCCTGCCTGGATGTTGTGAACAGCAAAGTCCAAAGGCAGGGTCTGTGCCAGCTGAGTTTCCTGTTGAAGAGATTTCACAAGAGACAGTATCCGAGCCACATACTGTTTTAGATATACATCACTTATCTTTACCCCTGCCCCAGGCTGAGAATTACAAGGATAAGGAATTCCAAACATCAATTCAAAAGGAGACAGTTGAATATCTTCCCTGGGTCTGGCCCTTATTCTTGCTAAAGCCAGTGGTAAGAGCCGCAGCCATGGCATTTTCGTTTCTATCACTAGCTTCAGAAGATGTTCTTTTATTTCTCTATTCATCCTTTCAACCTGGCCTGAGCTTTGGGGATGCCAGGGAGTGTGGAGGTTCCATTGTATCCCTAAAGCAGTCATTACTCCTTTAAGAACTTTTCCAGTAAAATGAGTTCCTCTATCTGAGTCTATCGCTTTCACCATCTCATATCTTGGGATTATTTGTTCTAAAAATACTTTAATAACTGACTCTGTAGTTGCTGAAACAGCTGGGAAGGCTTCTGGCTACCTTGTTAATTGACATACTATTACCAAAAGGTATTTAAACCTCCCTACTCGGGGCATCTCAGTAAAATCCACTTGGCACCTCTGGAAGGGACTACAGCCCAAGGCCTCCCTCCTCTGGCCAGTTTCTTTGTAACTTTGTTATTTGTCTTAGCACAAATCAAACAACTATCAACAGCTTGTTTTGCCAGAACAAAAAGACCCACAGCAGCGTACATTTTGAGGAAGGCTTCTGCTATCCCTCGGGAGCCCCAATGACTCCCTTCGTGGAGCTGTTTTAGCAGTTGGGAGGCTAAAGCTTTTGATATCCACTGCTTACTATCCCTTGTAAACCAATTACTCCCTCTTTCTTCTGCCCCACTCTTGTTAACTATCTCAAGTTCTGGTGGAAAAGACAGCTTCTCTGGCAAGGGGGCAGTTACTGGGAGCAAGGGAAGTAACTTAGAGATTTCTGGCAACAATGCAGCTTTCCGAGCTTCTTCATCAGCCAGTCTATTTCCTACTGCCTCTTCCGAGCACCCTGACTGGTGTCCCTTGATGTGTATTATTGCTACCTTTTTTGGTAAATTCACCACCTCCAATAGGCGGGAGATTAAATTCTCATGAGCCAACGGTTTTCCTCTGCAGGTTAATAAACCTCTCTCTTCCCACAGTTTCCCAAATGTGTGTATCACACCATATGCATATTTAGAATCAGTAAAAATATTTACTGTCTTGTCTCGGTATAACTTGCAGGCTCTCACGAGGGCATACAGCTCGGCCGTCTGAGCTGACCAGGTGGCTGGTAACCTCCCCCCTTCCTTTAATTGCTTTCCATTTAGGACAGAGTATCCTGTAAATCGTCTTCTTTCTATCACTTTTGAAGACCCATCAATAAACACGTTTTCCCCTTCAGGCCATGGGATGTCTCTCAGATCATTCCTTGCCCTAGTTTGTAGATCTATTACTTGAATACAATCATGGAATTTTCCTTGGCTCCCTTCCTCAGGGCCATTCAAACAGGAGGCTGGGTTAAAACCTTCCTTGTTTTTAAATTCTAAATCCTCCTGTTCTAATAAACAAGATTCATATTGCAACAACTGAGAGCTGGTCATCCACTTAGAGGCTCTCTCAGTTAACAACGCTTTAATCTGGTGTGAAACTTTAACAATCAGATAACCCCCCTTGTCAGCTTTTGGGCCTCAGCCATTATCAGAGCTGTGGCTGCCCAGTTCTGCAGACAATGGGTCCAGCCTCTGGCCACTGGGTCTAACAGTTTTGAAAAATAGGCAACAGGCCTCCGTGTTCTCTTATGCTCTTGAACTAAAATTTCCTTTGCATGACTTTGTATAAACATGATTTAGTTTAGCAGCAAGTACTGCCACTGTTTCAAGCTAATTACATTACAACTACTCTCTATCTCAATTTTTTGCATCAAGTCTATCTTAGGCATAGGGAGGTGACTAACAAATTAACTTCCATTAAGGAAACTTTAATATTTATAACATTTTATAACTTTTAACATTTCTTAAAAATGAGATTCACTTAATAAATTATAAAAAGAATTTAATATAAACAAAAGACAATTAGGAGACAAAAGAAATAAAGCAAAGGGTTAAAACGGCCGGGTGCCCTGGTGGGTTGCCAGGAACACACCTGGTATTTCGGTATTTCTCTTTTATTCCCCCCTGCTGTGAAGGTTTAATGCATATTCAAAGCGTCCCCTCCCTGGTTCCACCTTCTTAGATCATGCTTTTGTACAATTTTTATTTTCTGCTGGTCAGCATTTACTTTTGCTGGTCATCATTATTCTTGCAGATGAGCATTATTTTGGAGTTTGGTTTCCTTTCTTTTGCACATGGTCACTTGTTGATAACAGTCCGGGCCCCTCATCCTTCACCTGAGGTCAGCTGGTGTTCATATCTTCTGCTGATAACAGTTTGGGTTCTATTGTTCTCCTGATAACAGCTTGGGCCCCAGTGTCCTTGCCCTCTGGGGTTTCCTTGCTTTGTACCGAGGAAATTCTTTTAAACTTAAGACTTGTTAGCAAGAAAAAAAGTACATACATAGCTAAAAAGTATTTAATATATAATATTCATCTGCGAAAGCCAATATCACAATACAAATTTATAACATCTGGAAAAAAAGAACCCTGGCAGTTTGCTTAAACTATGAAGGGAAGAGATTCTTTTCAATGGGTTCCAGCTCTGCTCCTTGTTTGAATTAAAAGCAGAGCCAAACTCTTCTGTTGGTCACATCAAGCCAACATAAGTTTGAACGGTCTGTGAAAGACAGAAGAATGTAAAAAATTATTTCATTTTATAGTACTTACAGTCTTGTAATTCTGACATGGGCTAATTCTGCCATAATTCACTGTATCAAATAACTGGAAAAAGAAGTGGAGAAGAAAATTTTTAAAAAAAAGTTTAAAAAAAGTGACTTAATTTCCTCCATGTTCTAAGTGCATATTATATTATTGGCTTTTTGCAAATATTAAAATAAAAGTTATATGTGTAAGGTTAGAAAACTTTGTGCGTTAATATAGGTTCTTTTATTTCTGTTATTGATGAAACTTAGAAATACTGGTATAATACATATAGATGTTAGGCTATAACATGATATTTAAGCACAAACTACTTTTGTTTATATAACCCAGAGACTGAAAAGATAGTCAGAGACCCCCCTGCATTCTTAGATTACCTTGTCCAGATGAAGACAGCAGTCCTCCAAACCCTCCAAGAGAGGAATTTATTGCACCCGTTATAGGAGAGGGTAAAACCCAGTGGCACCAAGAAGATTGATCTCTTGAGAAGAGGGGAAGTTAAAAACTAAACAAAAGAACATCTAAAACTTAAGAAGAATGTCTGAATTCTGTATGAGAATTTATGACTATGTAGTAGGGTTTTGCTTTTAAGGGACAATCCTTTGTTAACAAAGTGTGCTCTCTTAGCTGAAAGCAGAGACACCCGGCCACATCTGTATATTTTACATTATCTCCTATGATATGAGCAGGCCTTACCTAAAATCGGGGTTTTTGACAAAGTGTTCTTTACAGCCTCTGTTCCAGGTTCTGAGTTAGAAGTGTTCCGGTTCTGAGTTCCATGTCAAAGTGTTCCTTGTTACCCCTACCCTATCACTG